TATATGCTGAACTGGACCGAACCTTGAAGTTTACAGGCCCGACAAAAGGCGACTGCATTGACTAAGGAAATGTGAGGAGCGGTTTTATCAGTGGAAGGACCCGAAGGGCCCGGTGAAGTCGGAGGAAGGATGTCCGGTGAATCCGGATCTGATGACGTCGGGGGAGTCGATGGCATCCCATGCGGTATCGTCCGGAACTCGATGCTGCCCTTAACCCAGTCAATCAACGGATTGTGTCGGGAGAGCCAGCTATATCCAAGGACGATAAGACAAGATGAATCCAAAGGAGTTACATAAAATGTATCGGAGGTTACTACACCGGATGCGAATCGGATCGGTAAATCTACTGCTTGTGTAATGGTAGCATTAGAAGTACCATCAAATAAATGGAGCGAGAGCGGAGGAATAGCATAGGTAGAGAGTCCGTGCTTTCGGACGAAGCTTGTCTCTATGAAACAGTGTGAGGACCCGCAATCTATTAAAGCCGGAAATTGGGCAATGTTCGGATATGCGGATATGGATACAAATGGACGGAGTGATGATGGGTTTGTGAGTGCGACAGCGTTGAGTCGTAACTCCAATGCGCGGGTTGAGTCAACGCGACCCTCGCCCCGCGCGGAGTCAGGAGGGTCACGGACTAATTTTTTGCCTCAACAGGGGCCTCGGGAATAGCATCCGGGGCCACTGTGGTTGCACGGCTCTTGGCAGCGCGCGAGGTCGATTTGGAGCAGTCCCGGGCCGTATGGCCGGGTCCACCGCAGAAAAGGCAGAGCCTCATGTCCATGCGCCTCTGGCGCTCCTCGGATGTCAGTTTACCGTCCTTGCCTAATTTTGAGGACAAGTCCGGTTGCTGTGAGGAGGAGGTAGAGGGTTTGGAGGGTTTACTTCCGGAAGGGGTTGTCCGGTCAGTAGCGGGTGCGAAGGATCGGGTAGGAGGTACATATGGTTTTGTTGGAGGCGCGGATGTGGATGGTTTAACCTCGCGGGAGGTCTCGCCCTTGCGTTCCCAGTATCGGGCGTCGATGGACTGGGATAGGGATCTGAACTCGGCGAGGGTCACGGGTTTCCCCTGACGACAAATCTCGTCCTTGATGCGGGCCGGAAGTCCGTTATAGAACTGACGGCGTAATGCTCCGTCGCCCCAACCTCGGACCTGGGAAGCAAGTCGTTGAAATTCTACTACATATTTATTAATGCGCTGTCCGTCGCGCATAACGAGTTGTTCGAGTTGCATTTCTGCATCCCCGACTGGGTCATGGGGGCCGAAGTTGGTCTGGAGTTCTAGCATGAACTCAGCATAGTCATCCATCCAGTCCGGGCGGTCATTAGTTGCACCGGACAGGAGGTCGGGCTCAAAATACTCCAGGGCCATGCCCTTCAAGTAGGACTGGGCGAAGTTGACTTTAGCCCGGTCCGTGCGGAAAGAGCGGACCTTGTTCTGGAAGTTGAGTTCGCATTGGACGAAGAATGCGCGGAGTTTGCGAGGTTCGGACCCGTCAAAAGTATCGGGTTCCCGAACCTTGACTTTGGAGTCTTCGGATGGGGATTTCCGCGTAGTGCGGGCAAGGTTCTCAATAGCTTGAGAGAAGCGGAGGAAGATTCTGTCAGCGGGGGTTAGCCCATCGTCTTCGTCCTCCGGGGGCCCACCAAATGGGTCATCCCCATCATCGCCCGGCGGATCTGAATCACCACCGTCGTCAGGCCCATCCGGGTCTGATGGTCCGGGGGTTGTCGGGCGAGTAGGAGTTTCTGGGTGCGGGCGGTTTATAATTTGCGAGACGCTGTCCGTGGGGGTTCTTAGTACGCTCGTACGACGACGAGTGAAACCAGTGAAGTTCTGTGCGTCGGACGCAGCGTTTCGTGAGCTGGCTAGAAAACCGGCCGCGGCGAGGTTGGTTCTGGTTGTCTGAGTGGGAGCCATGATGATAAGTATACTCGGTAAAGTGTGAGTTCGAATATACTGTTAAGACCGTGTTCAACGGGTCGGACCGGAGGGGCTTAGCTTCAGCTCGTGCGCTGCGCTCTTTACCCGAGTACGTGCCCCTAATTTACAGGGGGTTGGATATCGTCGGCCGAAGGGTATAGACGGGCCGGACGAGAGAGAGAAGACTACCCGAGACTTCGTCCGGGTAGAAACTAACAAGGTACAGACTACCCGAAGGTAGAAGCGGAGGGATTTAGCCTTAGGGATATAATCCCGAGGCTCGGAGGGTCGGACTAGGAAGACAATCCTAAGAGCCGAGGGAACACGAGGAATGAACTGAGTCTAAGATGATATTCGAACTGAGGATATACTACGGGTTACAAGGGGTTTATATACTATAAGGTATCCGACGGGTTTCCGGCCGAAGCGCAGTCTTCGGATCAGAGGGCTATGTAGAAAATGTACTAACGGATATGAACTGCTGCGGACGATCGAAAATGGAGCCGGAGATTAAATGAAACAGGGGGGACAAGTTAAATGAAAGGAAAATGAATAGACTAACGGACGGATCAGAATGAACCCGGATATTAACTGTCAGAAGGATCCGGGCGTATAGGGGCATCAAGAAGCATATACAAATGGGGACACGGGGAAATGAATTCTAGAATGGAACCGAGAGAACGGACGGACCGGACCGGACGAGAAGCTTCAGGTACGGAATATGACAGGCGCGGCAGATGCGAGTGTGGGTGCAGAGGTGGTCAAGGCTTGTTGTGAACGCATGGGAGGGAGCAATTGGGTGAAGTGTGGTAGGTTTGGGGGCTATGGGGAAGGGAGATAGTCAGTATGTAGGAATAAAGAGAGTGGCGGGAATAGACCACTGAGCGTGTCGTGAATGTCATCCATTGAAGAGCTCATAGTTCTGTGCCAGTGTCACGGCTCTTCTGGAGTTCACCTGGATGTTGGGAGGAAGAGAGGCAGATGTTGGGATGGCCTCTACGTGGGCAGCAAGATGTGCGTCTTCGTCTGTGAATACACACATGACGCGGGCAGCGACTTTGTGGTGGATGGTGGTCTTGTTGTCTTCACCGATAATGTCGATACCGAATTCCTGCAGGGGGGTTGGATGGGTCAGACGGAGGAAAATGGGGCAGACATACCAGAGCTCGCGGCTGCCAGCGCTTCCACCGATACGCGTTGCGTCAGGGAAATTCGTCAGGTGCGCAGGTGGAATAGGTTGTGATGTCGAGGGCATTGAGGGCAATGCGCCATTCTGTTGAGAAGATTGCGGAGTGACGGCGGCGACGGCTGCAGCGGCACAGATATCTAAGTGAGTTATGGTGTGAAGGACTTAATATTGGAGGGACACGCAAATATTTCTGTTGAATTCAACCGTGGGAGCTTTTCACGATTAGTCAACATTGACTGTTTACACAAACAACTAAGTTCGCTGTGTACATACTTGGTACATACAGTACTGCAATATACCATTTCTACGAGTACTAGTGCTGTGTTTCCGCTCGTTCACGCTTGCCTGTGCTTGTCCATGCGCTTGTATGCACCTCCCGCCAGTAATTGCTTCAGGGTATCTTTACAGGTAAGTACTTCAAGTTTATATATTAACCAAAACTTGCAATTTACATCTACAGTACTCAGGCCGCGGCTCAGGCCACCGCTGGTGACACTCACAGTGGTGAGGACTGAGCGCAGAACGGATCCGCCATTCCCATTCCCTCCTTCCACTCTCATCCATCATCTGTACTTGTCTGAGCCACGTCAGCAGTTGCTGACGTGAACTGGGCGTTTACACATGGTGTTGGGAATGGTGTGCATCTCCCATTCATACCGGATTTCGGTGCTGTTGTCCCGTGGCCACGAGAATGGACGAGCGACACCGTCCTCGATGCTGCAGTCTCTTTCTTTATAATACTTGGAATTTCAGACTATTAGATAAAATTTTGAAAATCACAATGTTTTTCTAAAATTATAACGCTTTTCGCTCGGGAGGGTTTTCCTGATGGGCCGAGGAGCTGTTCCTGCAGAGTGGACGAGTTTAGACGTTCTCGATGCATGCCCCTCATTTCTTTTGAACGTTTTCAAAGACATGTACACTTACTTCAATTAGGATAGGACACGCATCGTGAACATGTAGTTTTACATGGTGATAACTGAAAAAAACTGAGTAAAGTCAAGCAAAACAATGTAAAGTCGAGTAAAACAATGTAATGTTGTGGATATATGGGTAATTCCCTGGGGAGGTTTTTCCTGATGTGCTGAGGACCAATACACTCACAACCTGTCAATGAATAATGGCTTCGGTCAGCATGGCTCAAGGCCAAAGGAGGATGAACAAACTCACCTCCTATGAATGGATCAGCGATGTCGTTGGTGAGAAAGGCTCGAGGGATGAGACACTCACACCCTGTTAAGGAATGCGCAATGTGAGTGAGCGAGTAATGTCACAAGTGAGCAAGGCTCGAGCTCGACGGCAGAAGAACACACTCACATACTGTCAACGTGGATCGGCAATTTCACCGGTCAGCAATGCTGTAACTCGACAGAGGATCGATGCGCTCACAGTCTGTGAACGGGTGGGCGATGTTTTCAGTAAGCATGGCTCGAGCTTGACAGCGGATAGACCAACTCACAATCTGTCAACGAATCACCCAACGTACTTGGTCAGCAGGGCTCAAAATCGACAGCGGATGAAGAAACTCACACCCTAACAATGGATCAACAGTTGCGTGAGTGAGCGGGACAGGAGGTCGACTGAGGATGATTACGCTTACAAGCTATCAACGAATCAGGCATTATTTCGGTGAGTATAACTCAAGGCCGGTGAGGGATGGATATACTCACATTCTGCCGATGCATCAGCAATTCCTTCACTCAGCAAGACTCGAGCTCAAAGGAGGATCAAGAAACTCACAGCCTGCGAAGAGTGGGAAACGACTTGGATCAGCATGGCTCGAGCTCCAAGGAGGATCAAGAAACTCACACGCTGCGAAGAGTGGGCAACGACTTGAATCAGCATGGCTCGAGCTCGAAGGAGGATCAAGAAACTCACAGTCTGTGAAGAGTGGGCAACGACTTGGATCAGCATGGCTCGAGCTCGAAGGAGGATCAAGACACTCACAGTCTGCGAAGAGTGGGCAACGACTTGGATCAGCATGGCTCGAGCTCCAAAGAGAATCAAGAAACTCACACGCTGCGAAGAGTGGGCAACGACTTGAATCAGCATGGCTCGAGCTCCAAGGAGGATCAAGAAACTCACACGCTGCGAAGAGTGGGCAACGACTTGAATCAGCATGGCTCGAGCTCCAAGGAGGATCAAGAAACTCACACGCTGCGAAGAGTGGGCAACGACTTGAATCAGCATGGCTCGAGCTCCAAGGAGGATCAAGAAACTCACACGCTGCGAAGAGTGGGCAACGACTTGAATCAGCATGGCTCGAGCTCCAAGGAGGATCAAGAAACTCACACGCTGCGAAGAGTGGGCAACGACTTGAATCAGCATGGCTCGAGCTCCAAGGAGGATCAAGAAACTCACACGCTGCGAAGAGTGGGCAACGACTTGAATCAGCATGGCTCGAGCTCGAAGGAGGATCAAGAAACTCACAGTGTGCGAAGAGTGGGCAACGACTTGGATCAGCATGGCTCGAGCTCAAAGGAGGATCAAGACACTCACAGTCTGCGAAGAGTTCATCAGGAAAAACCCCCCCTCATAGTTTAGATGTAATTAGTATAATTTCCGATAATTCTGTAAAATATGACAATTTGGCAGATTATAAGAACTCTTTTACTGGTCTCTAACTTCAGCATAATTGTAAGAAGGTTTTCTCATATTATTCACTATTATTCGCAAATACATGGTGTACTGCTAGTGTGGTGAAAATTTTCGGTCCCTTATCTGAGTTAGATGTTCCTCAGTTCCAGCTTGTATACACGAAAACAATTAATTGTGATTAAAAAGAGTGTAGTTAATATGATGTATGAGGGTTTTCTAGTTTTTATGAGCGAGCGTGAATTATATACTGTATTAGACAGCTTCGAGAAAGATAAGAAACACCATTGAACGCCTACTCGTCCATCCCATCGAGATCAAGAAATGCGAGAGCATCAGTTTTCATCTCGGCAGCAGCCTTCTTCGTGTGCATGAGATCCCTGTCAGCAAAAGACTCCGGGTGAATTTAGACTGCTGGAGGAAGAAATCGGACGTACTGTATTGCAGCAAAAATATCCGCCATGAGTTTGTGGAATTTTTTAGGTGTGTTCGCCTTCAGATCCTCGAGAAATTGCACGTGGAAGAAATATACTTCACTAAACTGGTTCCCTGTGAAGTTAAATTTCGTCGGAGCACCCTGGGCCTTCCAGAAGAGTGCCGCGTACACCTAGATAGTTATAGAGTCAAAATATGTTAGCATCGGATATGAAAACACGTTACTGAAGTACTGGTCAAAGCGACCATAGGAATGGGGACCTCGGGCCGTTCGGCTTTATTCTTCGCGATATCGCTGAATTTTTGAGCAAACATGGAACCAACTGACTTCGATCCATTAAAATAGCGGCCCTTCATAAGGTGCACCATGAGATCGCCAAGGTAAGGTTTGTGCCGTACTGGTTTTGGGACGTCGTCATGCCGTAGTAATAGATTAGTAGATA